TAAGTCCCCAGACAGCTGGCCCCAAGGATACTAGAGTTCACGACTGGTCACTGCTCATAGCAGCCTTTTATTTGCCTGTGCCAACTTCCCCAGGTGTAAGAACCACCTAGGAAGGTCAAACAATTTTTAAAAACCGTGTATTTTAAAGCAGCTTCATGGTGCAGTTTCGATGCCATCCCGTCCTAACAGACGCCTGAAGTCAACTGCCACTGTCACTGTGCATCAGGTTTCTGGTGACAGCCATGTGAGATGCATGCTCTCATCGCCTGGCTGTACCCGAGATGGTCCCCAGAACCCATTCACTCATGACACACAACGCCCTAAAGGGTTTCTGTCTAGATCAGTTGGCATTGTTCTTTCCCTTGGGTTACCGGGTCGTGGTGTGACAGACATGATTTGAAATAGAGGGCCATGACTTAGCCTGCCTGCCCAGACACATTTGAACTGTCAAAGGCATGTTTCAAGTACGGTGGGAGATAGGTTGAGGTATTAGAGCAGACATGTTGGTCCCTGGCTCCTCCTTGTTTACTGTGGAATGAACTTGGGTGTGGGACTCCAGGTCATAGAACACAGCACGGAGACCTGGCAGAGTCCCGTTTCTGGGGAGAATGTTGGCTGTGGGAAAGGAAGTAAATGGCTCTGGGGAGCTGGGATGAGACTCCATTCCAACGCTGGCAGAGGGAGCTGGCACCTGGGGGACTTCCATCTACCCGAGGTGGGAGGGCCCTGGCCAAGGGCCCACATTCCTCTGTCAGACCTGGCAGTCGGCTGTCACTTCCCTGACCTTGCTTTATACTCCTGTCTTGTCCTCCTCCGGCCACTGAACTAGACATGCTGCGAAGAATGTCTTTGGCAAGGGAGATCTATGAAGGAAAAGAAAGAGCAAGGTCCAGGCCACTACTACTGAGCGAAACAAAAGGCAGCTTGCAAATGGGGCTTTGTCTTCTGCCTTGACCTTGTCTAGGAAAACTAGCCCACAGTCTTCAAATTATTAAGTAAAATCAATCTGAGACACACTGCCTTCCACACTCCTATGCTTCCCTTCACCTTCCGGATCCACTCACAGGAATGCTGGGAAATGTGGAAGGAGAAAATATCATGAATTCCTTCCCGCTCTAAAATACTAGAACTTTGAGAATATTTCAGCTCTTTAGGTGCAAACTGAAATTGCAGAAGACATGATCTTGAGCTGCAGTGACAGCTCATCCAGGGAGGTCCTTGTCCTGTAGGCATGGCAGCCTGTCCCATCAATCCTCAGAGTTCATAGCTTCAAAAAGCTAGATATGAGTGTATATGACTTTAATCCCGTGGACACAGAAGCATCTTTGAGGCTGACCCAGCTTGTTGATTTTGTGACGTTTAGACTAGTGAGAGACTATCTCAAAAGGAAGGGAGGGAAGGATCTGCTTTCCTCTGGTGGGATTAAAGGCTTGCACCACCATCCCTGGCTTAATTTAAATGTTTTATTTAAATATCAGTCTTGATTTTTTTTTAACTTAAATCTTTCTTTTGGACAATCAGTTGAGGTCTTTTGCCTTCCCAACTTGGTTTGAAGTACTGACAACAATGGGTCACATTCTCAAGCATTTCTGACGTGAATACTTACATTTTCATCAGTATTCAGTCTTGTCTAGTGATAGCCCACAGCACCTGAGAAATAGGAGTTGAAGCTATCCTCTGGTCTACACACACACGCACACATACATACACACACATACATATACACACACGCACACATACATACACACATACACACACGCACACATACATACACATACACACATACATACACACATACACACCCGCACACATACATACACACACATACACACATACATACACACATATACACACACATACATACATACATACACACACATACATACATACACACACACTCACCCTCACATGCACACATATACACAGAAACACATCCTCTCAAACTCCTAAACTACTCAGCCCAATCTCGCAGGTACCTATGCACTATCGAGAGCAGTGAAAGTTCTAGCTCATCCAGTTACAGTGATTAGCAAATCACAGTTCCACAGTTCACAACCCACCATTCACTGCGGCAAACTCACTCGGTAACTTCATATTTCCTGTGATTTACTTCAACTTCATAAGACCATGTTTTGCTTTCTCCTTTTGCCAAATGTGCTTTCTAAATAAAGCAGGAAGCCCTGCATCAATGAGATGCCAAAACTGACAGAAAAACAATGCATTTTTCCCACTCCCTAATTGCTCCAGATAGTAGGGGGGGCAGGGAGGTGAGAAACCTCTGCGTACACACGTATGTCCAGCTACAAGTGAGGCTGTTTATGAATCCTTGCAGCAACAGATGCTCCGGTGACTTCAGGAAGCATCAGGAGGGTAAAAATTAAATGTTCCTTGTACAGGCAGAACACAGATACTATTATCCTTAGCTGTCCATGTGTTCCAGATGACAGCCACACCATCTTGGCCATGCCTGGGGCCACCTTTGCAGCCATATACAATCTGATGGCCTTCCTCTAGGAAACTGTACCCAGCAAATGTGAAGCGGAGGCAAACTGGGCAGTTTTCCAGACACCTGATAGTGATTCTATCACACAGTGGAGAGTGAGGCCTGCTGAGTGGACCACAAGAGGCACAGAATGCAGGGCGACCCAGACCCCCTCAGCACGGGGGTGAGACAGCCATCCCCACTGCTGACTCACAGTGATGACCTTTTACCCAGCTTTTAACCTCCATAGGCCAAAGGAACCTGCCTCGTTTGTTCCCACTCTCTGGGATCAGTATCTGGTGAAGGGGAAAGAGCCATAGAGGCCTACGCCAGTTACTACCTCCACACGAGGAAGCCCCATGGGGTACCATTCTTCCTAGTCAGCTATGGATCGTGTTTGCATGCTATGAGAAAACACTTGGTCCTTCAAAATTCCAAACTGCTGAAAAGTAACCTAGACAAGTATGATAGTTAATATCGACTGATTTCTGGGCATGCCTGGAAGAGTCACTAGATTAGGTCCATTGACACGGAAATGCCCACCGTGAGTGAAGGCAGCACCATTCCGTGGACTGGGACCGTGGACTGAGTTCAAACAGGGAAGCGAGCTGAGTGTCAGTGTTCACCCCACTTCCTGACTTCAGATGGAAGGCAGGCATCACTTAACATCCCGCCATGCCCCCCACTTCGCATCCTGCCATGTCCCCCACTTTGCATTCTGCCATGCCCCCCACTTCGCATCCCGCCATGCCCCCC